ATTCCCAGAGGTCAACCCTGTACTGTTGACTCCCCAAGTCATCCTTGATCCCTTCACATCCTCCCAGCATCACCTGGCCTCCTCTCTATCACTCTCTCCACATTTCTAGCACACCGTGACAGCCCCAGTCTGAGCCACACCCAGGAACCACCACAACTACACATTGTCTCTTTTGTCCACCATCCTGCACAAGTGAGGAAATAAAGCACACAGGGGCTTTCCCTCGCTTGTCCAAAGTCCCACAGTCCAAGCCTGAAGATCAGTCACCAGAGGTTTCTCTTTGCCACCTTAGACTTATCTTCCATTACCTGTGACATACATGGTCGTAATAATAATATCAACCTCAGAGAGAGTTTGAAATACTTAAATCCATTCGTGTTCAAAACACAGGACTGAATCAAAACCCATAGGAATGGGCTGGTGCTGTGGCGTAGCTGGTAAAATGCCACTGCCTGCAGTACCGGCATCCCATATGCATGCTGGTTCAAGTCCTGGCTGCTCCAATTCTGATCCAGCCCTCTGCTATAGCTTGAGAAAGCAGTGGAAGAAGGCCCAAGTTGTTGAGCTTCTGCAACAATGTGGGAGACCCAGAAAAAGCACCAGGATCCTGGCTCATGGTCATTGCTTTGCATTGGTGTAGCTCCGGCCATGGCAGCCAACTGGGGAGTGAACCAGTGCCTGGAAGACTCTCCCTCTCCCTCTCCCTCTCCCTCTCCCTCTCCCTCTCCCTCTCCCTCTCCCTCTCCCTCTCCCTCTCCCTCTCCCTCTCCCTCTCCCTCTCCCTCTCTCTCCTTCTCTCTCCCTCTCTCAACCTTTCTCTCTCTAACTTTCACTCTCTCACCCTTTCTCTCTCTCTCTCTCCCCCCCTCTCTCCTCTTTCCACCTCTCTCTGTCTCTCCTCCCTCCATGTAACTCTTTCAAACAAACAAATACATCTTTTAGAAAAACCAAAGGAAAACACACATGAGGTGTGTGCAGGGAGACAGAGTTGAGGAGAGAGGGAGACAGACCTCAGATGGCTGTCTTCAGCCCAGTGAGAGTGCACCAAATCTGCACTCAGTCATACAAACACTTGCCCACTGTCTGCTGGGATCAACTGCAACCTGTGAGTTCTGAAGCTCATCCTTGGGGAGTGGGACCCCTACAAATGTTTACTTCCTTAGGTGCTCTTCCCGAGCCCTAGGACACCTATTGGAATTCTCTATACAAGAGAGTTACTCTTCTATCGTAACTTAATAACTCTTTGTTACATTGTCCTAATCAAACTATTTTCTGGCTTCCTAGATGGCCCAAACTGAGTGATTATTTTCTCTTCATGCTCATTCCTATTTGTATTTCTTGTACAAAAGTTATTAATAGCTGATAGTACTTTGGCATAAAAAGTAAAGCCTCCACATGGTAGGGTCTGCATCACATATGGTTTGAGTCATGGCTGCTGCACTTCTGATACAGTTTCCTGTGAATGGCCTGGGAAAAGCAGCAGAAGACAGCTCAGGTACTTGGGCCCCTGCACCCACATGGCAGACCAGGATGAAGCTCCTGGCTCTGGGCTTCAGCCTGGCCAAACCCCAGCCATTGCAGCCATCCAGGGGTGAACTGGAGGATGGAAAGTCTCTTTCCTTCTCTCTCTGTATCTCTGCCTTTCAAATAATTAACATCTGTAAGAAAAGTGTTACTAATATCCACTCTGAAGGAATTCAGGAAATGAATTACCACTTGCTTTACCAAAACGATTTAGAATCATGGTTCCACAAAGTTGGATAATCAGCAGCCTTACTCAGCAATTACGATGTACCAGGTCTAAAATGAGGGTGAACATGTCCAGCTATCATTTCTCTTTTATGGATCACCTCAATCCTATGGCTGATCAATGATTAGCAAGAATAAGGTTTTTGTTGGCTCAATTGATCCATTATTTAAATGGGAAACAATTCACATGCAACAGTAACATAGTTGAAGCTCCTGTTATCCCCCCAACCAGCTGACTCCTTTCCTGTTGCCAGCCATCATTTATACACAGTAAGGGCTGCTCCATGTCTGTCCAGTCACAGCTCCTTCCCCTGGATGACTACATATGAACTGTACACTCTCCTGCGACACATCAGGGCTAACTGCAGAGAGAAAAAACTGAGATGCATCCATGGGGAAGGGGAGCCTGCAGGGATTAGCCCAATGCATTCAAAGGGGCAAGGAATGACACTGGGACAGGCTCATGCTCAATATCAACTTCTGTGCTGCCTTGAGGAGTGTCAGGGTTGATCATTTCTATTCTCCATTAAGCACAGTCATCACTAACTCCAGAGATTACAAACCAGTCACGATAGGGAACATGGACATGACTGAAATGTGGACACACTTGGCCCTCCCCTGGGGTTCTCTCCATGGCTGGCAAACTCAGCTGTGCACGGAGAACACAGAGGCCAAAGAACCACGGACCCACCAGGCTGACAGGCCAGCCTGTCATGGAGATAAAGGGAGGGTCTTCCTGACCGGGGCTGCAGTCAACCTGAAACTGATGGGGAATAGGAATGTTATACCCATTTGTTTTGTTCCTCTCCCTTCACTGACAAAGCTGTCCTTTCTCTCTGCAGTAGCGAAGGGAAAACCTTGAAAATAACTCTATTTCTGCTCAAACAAATTAGAAACAATGGCATTCTCCAAGGAAGAGGAGGAAAGTCTCCAGCGATCTTTTCTCAAACAATCTCACCTCACAGGTATTCTTGTCGGTGGATCTGGACCACGACATGAGGGTAAACACCACTGAGAAGAACATGGAAGAACGGCACTTGCATAGGTCAGGAGAACTGTGCACATCAGAGAGCTGCAGGGGACAAATAGTCTGCAGATGAATCAGCACAAGATGTGAGATCCCTCTGACTGCACCTACACAGGCCACGCCCCAAAGGAAGAAAGACTGCTGAACTGAGCCCCCAAGAAACCAAGCAATTGACTTCCAGGTGACCTCTGAGGAGACAAGGTCTCAGTGGACACAGCTCCATGAAAATGAGTTGAAAAATGCACAAAGGGGCACCACTGTAGGACATGAGCCAAAACACCAAGATCAGTTAGATGTGCGCTATGTGGTTTGCTTCACAAAGCAACGGAGAAGGAAAATGAGCATCCTCCTGAGAGCTTTTAGTCTCCCACACTGTCCAGAATACCACGGAGCAGTACACAACAAAACATAGAGATGACTAGGACAGTCTGATCAGCTCTCAAAGAAAAAGACCACCGATTGGCTCTGAACCTGTCCTCATAGAGGAATGACTAGGGACAGCATCTCCTCTAACCATTTCCAAAGAAGGAAAGGCAAATGCTCTGGAAATTAATGGGAAGAAAATGTTCTGAGCAGAAAAAGAATTACATGAAAAACACAAGCTGGAAATGTCAGGCCTGAACGTACAACATTCATATCAAAATGCAATGGATGGAATCAGGACCAGAGTGTAGAAAATGAGGAAGGATCAGATTACATGCCAATCAACAGAAAGGTACAAGTTGAAGAACAAAGAGAAGGGAAGAAGCTGGAAGCTAAATGAATGGAGCCTCAGAGATGTGTGAACCAGAGCAAGAGTCCTAATGTTTGGGAGCCTGAAATGGGGAGGGGAATGGGGGGGGCAGTGAACAACAAAATCCATAAAGAATCCAATGACCAGGAAGATCGCCCTTTTAGGAATACAATCCAAGTAGCTCAGAAGCATTACAGGGACATGTGAGCAATGCACATAAAAGGAGAAATCTTGAAATCAGAGCCAATGACACGCTCCCAATGAGGGAATACCCACATGAGAGGGTTTGACTTCTCATCAGAAAACACAAAGTCCACAGGATACTAGAACCCTGTCCTCCAAGTGTGGAAAGAAAAGACCTCCCCAGGAATCTCCAGGGAACCAAGACACCCTGAAGGATCTCAGCCCCCTATGCAGAAAAAGGAGGGGTGATGGACAAGAAGGAATACTAAGAGCAGTCATCAGAAGACCACTTGCTATCAAAACAGCACCAAGTGGATGGAATTCTTCAGGCTAAAGTGAAATCCTGCCCACAGGAAGTCTGGTACATCAGGAGTAATGAAGAGCAGGAGAAACGTTAAGGATTTAAATCACTGCTGGCTGTGTTTTCGCCCTTAAATTCTCTAAATGACATCTGCAGAACCCAAAACAGAAAGCACAGACTCAGAGGGTGAGGCTCCATTTGTACAAAGGTCACACCAAGGGGAACAGTCACAACAGAGCAGAGGGTCAAAGAATCGTGCGGCCCTAAGGTTTCATTACTCTGCCGAACAGGAAGAAAAGGGACTCTAATCAGATGGGAAAAGCAACAGGACCCACAGTGCTATGCCCAGAACAACTGAAACACAAAGACACGCTCTAGAAAAGCTGGATTTGGGCCGGCATCATGGTGCAATGTGCGATCCCACACCCTGAGGCACTTGCAGCTCCCTGCTAATGTGCCTGAGAAAGCAGCAGAGGATGGCCCAAGTCCCTGCACCCCTGTACATGTGAGAGACATGGAGGAAGCTCCTGGCTTTCTCCTGACCTGCCCTGACTGTGGTGGCAACATGGGGAGAGAACTGGCAGATGGAGGATCATTCTCTCTCTAATTCTGTCTTTCAAAGAAATTTAAAAAAAATTTTTTTAAATAAGAGGATGAAGTTGGGTCACCTCAGGATCTAGATCTGGGAATGGAGCAGCAACAGATTGATAAACAGGTCTTTGTGGAAATCCAACTTGGAGTTTCCCCAGAGAACTCGCAGGAATGGAATCTCAGTTATATGGTCAGCATGTCTCTCCCAGCCTACCTGGCCCAAAACTATGCTGCCAGCACCTCAGGCTCTGAGGAGCACATGCATTTCTGCCCTGAGGGCTCTCTCCTCAGTGTTTCCAGGACAAGGGAAGGAGGACCCACACTGGGGGACACCAATGCGGCCATAGCCTACAGGACCTGCTTGCCAAGAGACCGCTCCTAGCACTCACCCACCTGAGGGTCAGGGATCGGGCAATGGGTCCTGCCCAGTGCCCTGAGGGCTCTAGGCCCTGGAAAAGCACTGAGGGGGCCACTGCACTACCAACAGCTCATGATGCTCAATACAGACACCCTCTGCCCTCAGTAGGAGCCTGGAGGGACACAAGAGTCCAGAGGGGATCGGCAGCCTTTGCCAGGGCCAATTCCTCCTGTGTCATCTGCACAATGTGCCACTCCTAAGGCCATCTTGGCAAACTCCACCCCTAGCCTGGGTCCTGGACACACCCATCTCCAGGCCCTGCTCTCTATGATGCGCACCCCTAGCAGCAGGTTCTGTGACACGTGCCCATTCTGTGACCACTAAGGTTCTGCAGATGTGGCATTTTGGCCTTAGCCCTTCGGAGCGATAGCAGCCAAAAGTGCTTTGGGAAGTCTTCATAGTATAGAGACTCACCAGCTTCTTTTCAAACACTTTGGGGAGCAAATTTTGCCCCCCTCACCTGCCCCAGCAATGGGGGCTGACCACCGACCTAAGGGGCCCCCAGGCCCAGGTCGGGGTCACACTCCCGCCTCTGGCCCTGGACCAGTTGGTCCACGGGCAAAATACCATAGGTCTTACAGACCAAAAGTCAGACAATCCAGTCTGATGATAAGAAAACTCAGGGCCATCGTGGCACTGCTGACCACTCTCTGCGGGCTTCAGACTCGACAACGCGTGTGCTCCAACAGAGTGAACATCGGTAAGGCCAGGATGCAACCACCCCCTAGGCTAGGTAACCTGATCATCATGGAAATCTGAAAGCCTTGTAGGGGAGGTGTGGTAGAAGTGTGGGGAGCACGTGTGTGTGCAGTGCTGTGGTGCAGTGGGCTCAGCCACTGCCTGCAACACCAGCATCCCAAAGGAGTGCTGGGTTGAGTCCCAGCTGCTGCACTTCCAACCCAGCTGCCTGCTAATGTACCTGGGAAGGCAGTAGAACATGGCTCAAGTACGTGGCCATTTTGGAAGGCACTGGTGAAGTGCCAGGCCCCTGTCTGGCCAGCTACCTTGCCAGTTGTGGTGGCCATTTCAGGGTCAAGTCAGAAGATGGAAGCTCTCTTTTGGTTTTCTCACTCCCCAACTCAACCTTTACACATAATACATTTGTAACAGAAAGCAAAAGCACTTTGGGAGGTGATGCTGAGGTCACCCAGGTGCACAGCAGTTCACATCCTTCCTGCCGTTTCCTTTCTAGGACCTGTACTGAGCACGCCTGATCCTACCAGACGAACCGGCAATGGAAGGCGGAGGAAGCAAACCTGCAAAGTACATCATCCAATTATCCAGGATATGGACACTTTACCCCCTGATACTCCTCCACAGGAGGAAGCCATGGACATCTCTCCCCCTATACTCCCCAATGGGGGGGTATCAAGGGACACATCACCCCCATATGTTCCCTGAAAGGAGAGAGCTATAAACAACTCATCCCTCTCTGCTCCCCTACAGGAAGAAGCCATGGACACTACTCCTCCATACACTCCACCTCGGGAGGAGGAGCCCATGGACACCACGCCCCCATATGAGCCACCAGAACTGATGGACACCACACCGCCATATGAGCCACCAGAACTGATGGACACCACACCGCCATATGAGCCACCAGAACTGATGGACACCACGCCCCCATAAGAAACATCTTGGGCGGATCCACACCTCCCCATGTTCCACCACGGGAAGAGCCCAGGGATATCACACTCCCAACATTCCACCATGGGAGGAGCCTATTGACCCACACCCTCCTGTGCTCCCCCATGGGAGGAGTCCCTGGACACCACAACCTCCTAAGCTCCACCAAAGGAGGAACCAATGGATACCACAATGCCATAGGCTCCTCCTCCAGTGTAGTGCCTGGACACCACACCCTCCTACACTCCACCAAGGGAGGAACCAATGGATACCACAATCCCATAGGCTCCTCCTCCAGAGGAGCCCATGGACACAACACCAACCTATACTCCCCCTCCAGAGGAGGCCATGGACCCTTCAGCCCCTAGTTTCCAGCATAGTCCATGGAAAGGTCAACCACGTCTCCTGCCCTCTGTTTTCCTCCTGCTGGTCCCAGGGGCAGTTTTATGCCTGGCCTTCCCATCTTTCCTTGCATCTTCATACCCAGTTTCCCAGCACCTATGGATATAGACCCTCCCGCGTGACCCTTCCTCCCTCCCCTCCAGGACATGGCACAACTCTGCTCCCAGGCAGCTCCTTTCATGGCCTCCAGCTGGCTCCTCACCACACAAGATTCTTATTTAATATTAAACACCATACTCGTTCTGTTTTTTGTGTCTATGCTCTGTAGATCCAGTGTGAGAAATGCTGGCTTGTGTGAGTGCTGACAGGAGGTCAGATCCTATGGGAAAATGTTCCTGTGGTGCAAGAAACAGGGGCTGGAGGGTTGGGAGCTAGGGAGTAGAAGGAGCCAAAGGCCATAATGACTCCTCCTGAGCAGAAAAGCTGTGGCTGATGGGCCGGCCCCTGTGCCGGCATAGTGGGTGAAGCTGCGGCCTGCAGTGCTGGCATCCCATATGGGTACTGGTTCAAATCCTGGGAGCTCTACTTCTGATCCACCTCTCTGCTATGGCCTGGGAAAACAGTAGAAGATGGCCCAAGTCCTTGGGCCCCTCTACACACATGGGACACCTGGAAGAAGCCTCTGGCTTCTGGCATTGGATCAGTAGAGCTCCAGCCTTAGGAGCCAACTGGAGAGTGAACCAGTGGATGGAAGAACTCTCTTTCCCTGCCTCTCCTTCTCTCTCTCTGTAACTCAGACTTTTCAATATATGAATAAATCTCTAAACGAAGGAAAAAAAAAGCTATGGCTGAACTTAAGGGATGGGGCCCAGGATCAATGAACCCAGGAAGGGAGGAGACAGGAAGGGTCATTCTTGCTGTGGCAGCCACCACTTCTCACCTCCTCTCTGAGCTGCAATTGGCTGGATCTCCCCTCACACACACCAGCAGTCTACACTCTACACACTCACACCTGGTCCCTTAGGGAAATCTACACTCACAGCTCAGCCAGAAAGCACACATCTGGCATCGAAGCTCACAGGCCACGAAGAACAGAGGAAGAAAACTCATCGCCCCACAATAACCAAGGACAACCGTAACTCTAGGATGTCACTGATTCCCGGGTGATCTGATTGTCAACATGCGGAGATGTCCTCCTTGTTGCTCTTCCATTCAGATTAGGAAAGGGGAAGCAAAGAGACTATTTGCAGGGGAAACAAGCTAAGTTAGAGTCCCATTTTCCAAAAAAGGATTAATTGATTTATATCTTTTAACCCACAAGTACAAAGCATATCAACTAGTCACTCCCAGCCATGCCACAAGACAAAAGCTGAACACCTGAAGTCACCAACTCATCTTGTATCCTACAGAAAAGTGAGGTCACTTGCAAAACACACCTTCAGAAATTGCCTTGACTGTCAGATGCAGAGAATCCCAGCTTAACTGAGCACAGGCCTCTGCTGGGGCTCAAATGTAGGTAGGGAACACAGACTGTAATAGGTCAACTGCTGGGGGCACAATGTGCACATGCTAGAGAGGAGAAAACTCCAGGGAGGGGGCAATCTTTTCTAAAAGAAGAGCTAACAAAGTTTTTAAAAACTTATTTTCATTTTATTTGTTAGGAGAGCTGCAGAAAGAGATGGAAACAGCCATACTCAGATCTTCCTTCCTATGGCCCACTTCCCACATGCCTGGAATGCTGTCGTCTTCCTTCTTGCTCTCTCTCACACAAATCAAACCCCAAACCATGCTGCATAACCTGGAAATCTCTAGGAAATACCAAGTCCCACATACATGCCAGTGCTGGTGCATATTATCAATCTGTGGCCTGGACTTCTCAAGACATCAATCTCATCATAATCAAGTCAGGTCTAAGGAGATAGGCATTGCAGTACAATACATTTGCCATCTGCTTGGGAAGCCCCCATTCCATATTGGATTTCCTGAGATAGAGTCCCACCATTGCTTCTGATCCAGCTTCCTGCACATGTGCACCCTGGGAGGCCCAGGTGATGACCTCAGGGCTTGGGTTCCTGTCATTCATGTGGGAGCACAGGATGGAGATTCTGGCTTCAGTCAGGCCCAGCCCCACCTTTGTATTTGGGAAGTGAATTAGCAGATAGAAGGTCTTGAGATCACATTCTCTCTCTCTCTCTCACTGTGTGTGTGTGTGTGTGTGTCAGTGTGCATGTGAGTGGGTGTGTCTAACTTTCAAAGTAGTAAATGGATTCTATAAGAAAAACATGAAGAGTCTGAGACTAAATTCTGGATGTAGTGTTGGTACAGAAAACAGACATGTGGGTACAGCTAAGGAATTTGAATAAACTGTGGCCTTTAGTGAATAATAAAGTATCAATACAGGTTCACTGATGGCAATAAACACACCACACTAAGGAAAGATGTCCACACGAGCTACTTCCAGCAGTTCCTTTATGAAGGGACTTCAAAAGGTCATGGAAAATGCACATTATGAGTAAACTGACACATGGACTTAAATTCTTTCTGCAACAAGGTAAATTCAGCTTTTCTCTCATTTCCTCCCCAAAGAGTCTGAAGTTATCTCTCCTGGTTTCACATTGTGATCTTTTCCTTGCCATTGGGATGCCCATTCACCAAACCACCTTCAGGGCAAATATCTATCAAGACCAAGGCTGGACCTCTCAGGAGCCACTCCCTGAATTCCTTATCACTGCACATGCATCCCACTCACAGGAATTACTACTGTGCTCAGAGGATTCAACCTTCTCTCTCATACTCCCTATTTTCCAGTGCCTGGAATAAAGACCTAAGGACTGAATGCTTTAAGCCTCGGACAACCGCACTGAATGATCCTGGGTACAGACATGGGGACATGTCAAAAACAAAGCACCACCCAGAAAAGCAAGGGCCTGGCTTCACCAGCAAGACACAAGGAGGTCTTAGCTCAGCCCTTAGCACTCGATTCTGTCCATCGTCCTGAACAGTTTTGCACCTCTGCACATTTGTCCAAACTCATCTCTACCAGGGGACAAACACTGCTCCCCAGACACACAGGAAACAACCTGACAGCAGACAACAAGGGCCACACCACAAGGAAGCTGTCATCCCTGAGCAGCTCCTTTGTGTCGAGGCTTTGCCAGCAACACTGCCATCAGTTCCTCCTCCCTCCCACCTCACTGACAGGAGGGTGCAGTTACAAGTTCAGCTGACAGATAAGAGTTTGGATTCCAGACCCCCACCATGAGATAGGTACTTGGTGGCTCTGGGCCTCAGTGTCCCACACGTCAACTGGGGCTACTAACAGTCTCTGCAGTACAAACAGCTGCTGCCTGAGCTCTGCTGCTCCCATTGCTATTCCCATCCCATTCCTATTTGAAAGAGGAAGGAAGGAGAGGTCCTAAGATCCTGGCTCATGGCTTCAGATCAGCCCAGCTCTCACCAGTGTGACCATTTGGGAAGGGAACCAATAGATGGAGCATCTCCAGTGGATGGAGTATCTCAGGATCACCCCCCACCCCTTAATATTACTGTGCCTCTCAGACAAATAAATAAAATCTTTAGACAGAGATCAAGATGCATCTCTTTTGCAGGTTCACCCTGCAAATATCCACAGCAGCCCAGTTGTAGCCAAGCCACAGTCAGCAGACATGAAGGCACTCTGGGTCTCTTACCTGAATCACAGTCAACCAACAGCACCCAGTACCACCTGCTGCCTCCCAGGGTACACATCAGAAGAAAATTAATCAGAAGTGGGACAGGAACTCAACCCCAGGCACTCTGACAAGGGATGTGCATGTCCCAAGCAGCATCGGGTGCTGTGCTGAAAACCTGCCTCTTCCAATATCTGTGAAGGTGACCCATTTTTCTTCAGTAAAGAAGTGGAAGAACTGAGCTGGCACTGTGGCATAGTGAGGAAAGCTGCCACATGTGGTGCTGGCATCCCCTACGGGCACTGGTTCAACATCTGGCTGTTCTATTTCCAATGCAGCTCCCTGCTTTTGCACCTGGGAAGGCAGCAGATGACAGTTCTGGTACTCGGGCCCCTGCACCCACATGGGAGACATGGAAGAAGCTCCTGGCTTCAGAAAGGCACAATTCCAGCCATTGTGGCCATTTCAGGAGTGAACCAGTGGATGGGAGACTGGATTCTCTCTCTCATTCTCTAACTCTGCCTTTTAAATAAAGAAATAAATATATTTATCTACCTATCTATCTTTTAAAAAATACAAACTGGAAGACTCCATTGACATGGCCAAATTGCCAAGATCCTTAGTTATTGAGGAAAGTACTAAGTGTTTGTTTTATTACAAAAATGTCTGGAACTTAAACTACCTTCTATTGACAAAGTATATATTTTAGGTGTATCTTTAAATCCCACTGTCCTTGAATTCTAAATTTCCTCATATCACCAGCAGTGGAATTGCTAGGGGACATAACTACTCTATTATTCAGGGGACGATACTACACACATTTATCCACCTGTCTTTGTGCTACTTAGAACTATTCTTGCTGTGTGCATGGTTGTCAATACAAATGTCTCTCCTTCCTCCAGCTACCTTCTTAGTATGCCATTTCCTACATGGATCTTCTTTTTCTAGCACCGTATTACTGAGCTGATGTATTTCATACAGCAACACACACACACACACACACACACACACGTGCGTGTAAAGCTGGTGAAATCCTGATGGGGCTGAAGGATTTTTAGGGTCTATTTCTACAGAATCACCTGTGTGTTTCTGAAAACAAAGGAGCTGCCAAAGAGAGCAGAACACTCACCAACTCATCTAGCCTATAGAGCTGTCCAAAGCTGATGGAACCTCTGAAGAGAGCAATGAAGACAGAGATCAAAGGCATCTTCACTGGTCGTGGAAGGCACTGGAGAAAGGCAGAATGGGAGAAGCCATGACTCAACCCCATGGGCCAGTGACCCCTGTCCTGCCCCTCCCAGCCCCTTCTCTCCCCCTCCTCCACCTCCTTTGCTCTCCTCAAGATCTTGCACAGGACGTAGCTGCTTAGGTTCTTCACTGTGCCCTCAGCCTCACTGATGCTCTCATCCACTTTAGCCTCTGCACTTCCAAGTTAGGCTGGGACCATGACATCTCAACATGGGACCCATGTCCTCTGTCATTGTCTGAGGGAGTCCACAGCCCTTTAGCAGCTCCACACACACCTAAATATCTTCTTCGCCTGAGCACTCGGGCCCTTCACTCTGAGAGAGAATTTACAGCATATTCTGACAGTCACAAGCTCCCAAGGGTAGTCAGTTATGTGCTATATCCTTACAATTGCCACAAAAAGGAGAAGTAGATGACTGTATAGTAAACAGCAGCTGAAAGCCCTCCAATTCTGCCCTCCAATAAATCAGTGAGAAACCAGGTAAAAACAGTCACCATTAACATTTTGTAAGTTTTTAATCTTTTGATTCAGTGGGAGAAATGCATAGGAGAGTGAGGGCCCTATCTAAAAAAGACAGAGAAATCTGGATTCATACCGAACACCACTAGCCACCATGTGGAGGAGTATGCAGGCCAGGAAGCATGGAGCAGATGGCCTGAAGACCACATGCCCAAAGGTGCAGGGGCAGCAAGCCCATCCAGCACAAAAGGGAAAAGGGCCAAAAAGCCATTAGCATTTCAAGAATCCTGGAAACTAACCCAACGTCTGCAGGAACCCAGGCAGTACCGAGCACAGAAAAACAAAGCACAGCTGACTCTCAGGAAGAACAGGGGGTTGGTGGCAGTCTCCCTGTCCCAAGTACAACCTGCTGCTCTGCAGTTCCACAGGAACACAGAAAACGGAAGCCCACGTTCATGGTGAAAACCAGCAGTGGGCAGCCACTGCCGGGAGCACAATCAGTCTGTGGCTTCCCCAAAGCCTTATTCATAGAGAATGAGCACTCTCTGAGGAGTCTGCTGCCTTTGGGAAGAACCCACTTTCTAGGCTGAACTTGACCTGACCTTGAGCTTGTCCAAGGTGATAAGTACAATGGTCCCCAGCAAAACTCTCAAAACTATCACAGCCACTGCTTAACTTTGTGGATACTCTAAGTAGTTAACAACTCCCTTAGAGAAAGGACAAACTAACCCAACAATATTGCAGGAGAGCTAAGTCATGAGTGTCTGTAGGGGACTCAGGAAGCTCTGGCACACTCCTGGGAATCTAGAAATGCACAGGTGCACCCTTCTCTGATGAGAGAGCCTCGAGGTGCTGGACTTCTCACATACACAAGGACTAATGCCAAACCTCTTGCTCCTCCTGGGGTACTAGAATCTACCCATGGGCTGGGAAGAAGGCACCAATGTACAGCCTGGGCAATCAGACTCTGGGACCTTGTCTGGCAAATGTCACTCTTGTTGTCACAACTTGTTCTGAGTCCAGGGGGGCCTCCACAGGAAGCACTGACCCTGGGAGTGCTCAGGATCAGGATCTCCCAACACAAGCAGAATCACCAAGAAAAGACTGCAGCCAGCTGACACTACCTCTGAGGAAGTACAGACATGGAACTCACTAGGCCCAGAGCACTCGGTGTTCACACTATACTCAAATTAGTGAAGGAATCTATGTGTTAAGCACTACAAACATCAAGAGAAGTGTTTCACAGGATAGGAAATAACAGGAAGGGAATATATCTTATGAGAGGAGTGACACAAGTTTCTGGAATTGAAAAGAACAACTGAGAACCCCCTGCAGGGGCCTGTACCAGCTTCCTCCAGTCACCATAGCTACTTACTGCCATCTGCCTGGCTTTAAAGGAAGGTTGCTCACAGTTCTGGAGGGCAGGGCCTGATGTCAGAGGCCTGCTGCTCCCTGCTCTATCTGAAGGCTCCAGCGTAGGGTCCTCCATGGGCTCTTCCTAGTTTCTGGCACTTGCTGCATCTTGGGTTGTTGCTTTGCAGCTGCAACTTCCCAGCCTCTGCCTGTGCCATCAGAGTCTTCTTCCTTCCACATCCACATTTGCCTGGAATGGAAGGACAACAGCAATGGATCAGGGCCCACTCTGACACAGGATGAGCTCATCATCCCTGACTCTACCTGTGAACACCTTATTTCCACAGAAAGCCTCCCACACAGACATTGAGCGCTAAGGCTTAAACGTTGCAGGACAAACTCCTCATACAATAGGATTTTGAACAGGCAAAAGAAACACCGATCCTGTGGATCAGACCCTGCAGATGGCCCAGTCCAATGAATAATAAGCAAACAATAGTTTCAGAGACCTGTGGGACACTATCAAGCATAACACATATTCATAAAGAGTCCAGAGAGACAGGGATATGAGACAGGGACAGCAAGAATATATGAATTGTGTCCCCAAATTGCCTAAACATTTTGAACAAGAATAATCAAAATATGCATGGGTGTTTGGCCAAGTCATAAAGCAAACAGGACATCAATATCCAACAAAGAAATGGTTCAATTTGATTCCCTAGCTCTGTCTCCTGTTTCCAGCTTCCTGCTCCTATGAATATTGGGAGGCAGCAGTGAGGGTCCAAGTCGTTGGGCTCATTCCACACATGGGGAAAACTTGGATTGGGAACCCAGTTCCCAGCTGTGATCTTACAGTTGTAGAAAGTACTTCAGAGGAGTCAATCAGCAGCTGGAATATCTCTCATGCCTCTATCGCTGACACATCATAGGATGCAAAAATATACATGGAGTTCAATGAACTGCACTAGTAGAAATTCACATCCTAGTAAGTTGGAAGGCAAAGACAAAGACATGCAAGGGCCTCCAGAATGAATTGTCATGCACAAAGTATCTCTGAGAAGATGAACACTGGTATGGCTGTAATCCGTTTTTAAAAAGTATAGCTAGTAATGTTGTGGAATTTAAACATCACACTTTATTCTGCAAATCCCTCACAAGTTTTTTTTTAATTTGTTTTATTTATTTGACAGGTAGAGTTACAGAAAGTAAGAGAGAGACAGAGAGAAAGGTCTTCCTTTCATTGGTTCACTCCCCAAATACTGCTACAGCTGGAACTGTGCCTATCCAAAGCCAGGAGCCAGGTGCTTCTTCCTGGTCTCCCACATGGGTGCAGGGGCCCAAGCACTTGAGCCATCCTCCACTGCCTTCCTGGGCCACAGCAGAGAGCTGGACTGGAAGAGGAGCAGCCAGGAATAGAACCGGCGCCCATATGGCATGCCGGCACTGCAGGTGGAAGATTAACCAAGTGAGCCACAGTGCCGGGCCCTCCCTTAAAAGTTTGACACTTCCTCAGAAAAGTTCAGAGTGTCAGTATACATAGTAGCCAAATGTGTAAGTGACCCATTTACCCAGCATGTGATAAATGAAAAGTATTAATATGTTTCATTCACACAGTAGATATTACTCAGCCATAAAAGGATCAGGTGTGGATATATGCTACAATATGGATGAACCTTGGATATATTTTGCTTATTGAAAGAAAACAGACATAAAAGTGACCCTCTATCTCCATGATATGGCCAGAAGTGAAAATAAATCCACAGCGACAGGAGGTAGATAAGGGTTACCAAGGCAAGGCAGGTGGAGAGAATGAGGTTCTCTGACAAGGAGTATGGTGTTTCCCTTTGAGATGATGAGAAAAGTACGGAAATGACAAGACAGGAAAACCTGAATATACCAAGACCCAGTGAACAGTATGCTTTGTTTATTTTTAAAGATTTATATACTTGAAAGGCAGAGTGATGGGGAGTGGGGGATGATAGGGAGATCTATCCACTGGTTCAGTCCCCTCAGATGACTGTAATAGCCAGGACTGGGGCAGCCTGAAACCACAAGCCAGGAGCTTCCTCCAGATCTTTCACATGGCTGGCAGGAAACCAAGCGCATGGGCCATCTCCCACTGTTTCCACAGAAGCATTGGCATGGAGCTGGATCAGAAGTGGAGCAGCCAAGGGGCTTCCATAGCCTAGACAGCTCATAGCAAGAGTCTCGGGTGATTGCTGATATATACAGAACTTTCAATCCTACAGCTAAAGATTTTACATTCTTCTCAGCAGTACATGGAACCTTCTCTAGGATTGACCACATACTAGGCCATAAAGCAAGTCTCAGCAAATTCAAAAGAATTAGAATCATACCATGCAGCTTCTCAGACCATAAAGAATGAAGTTGGAAATTAGCAACTCAGGAATCCCTAGAGCATACGCAAACACATGGAGATTGAACAACATGCTCCTGAATGAACAATGGGTCATAGAAGAAATTAAAAGAGAAATCAAAAATTTTCTGGAAGTAAATGAGGATAACAGCACAACATACCAAAACTTATGGGATACAGCAAAAGCAGTGTTAAGAGGAAAGTTTATATCAATAGGTGCCTACATCAAGAAATTGGAAAGGCACCAAATAGATGAGCTTTCAATTCACCTCAAGGATCTAGAAAACCTACAGCAAACCAGACCCAAATCTAGTAGGAGAAGAGAAATAATTAAAATCAGAGAAGAAATCAACAGGATTGAATCCAAAAAAACCTTACAAAAAATCAGGCAAACGAGGAGCTGGTTTTTTGAAAAAATAAACAAAAGTGACACCCCATTGGCCCAACTAACTAAAAAAAGAAGAGAAAAGACCCAAATCAATAAAATCAGAGATGAAAAAGGAAATGTAACAACAGACACCACGGAAATAAAAAGAATCATCAGAAATTACTACAAGGACTTGTATGCCAGCAAACAGGGAAACCTATCAGAAATGGATAGATTCCTGGACACATGCAACCTACTGAAATTGAACCAGGAAGACATAGAAAACCTAAACAGACCCATAACTGAGAAAGAAATTGAAACAGTAATAAAGGCCCTCCCAACAAACAAAAGCCCAGGACCAGATGCATTCACTGCTGAATTCTACCAGACATTTAAAGAAGAACTAACTCCAATTCTTCTCAAACTATTCAGAACAATCGAAGAAGAGGGAATCCTCCCAAATTCTTTCTATGAAGCCAGCATCACCTTAATTCCTAAGCCAGAGAAAGATGCAGCACTGAAAGAGAATTACAGACCAATATCCCTGATGAACATAGATGCAAAAATCCTCAATAAAATTCTCGCCAATAGAATGCAACAACACATCAGAAAGATCATCCACCCAGACCAAGTGGGATTTATCCCTGGTATGCAGGGATGGTTTAATGTGCGCAAGACAATCAATGTGATACACCACATTAACAGACTGCAGAAGAAAAACCATATGATTATCTCAATAGATGCAGAGAAAGCATTCGATAAACTACAACACCCGTTCATGATGAAAACCCTAAGCAAACTGGGTTTGGAAGGAACATTCCTTAATACAATCAAAGCAATCTATGAAAAACCCACAGCCAACATCCTATTGAATGGGGAAAAGTTGGAAGCATTTCCACTGAGATCTGGTACCAGACAGGGATGCCCACTCTCACCACTGCTATTTAACATAGTTCTGGAGGTTCTAGCCAGAGCTATTAGGCAAGAAAAAGAAATTAAAGGGATACAAATTGGGAAGGCAGAAGTCAAACTATCCCTCTTTGCAGATGACATGATTCTTTAGGGGACCCAAAGAACTCTACTAAGAGACTATTGGAACTCATAGAAGAGTTTGTCAAAGTAGCAGGGTATAAAATCAATGCACAAAAATCAACAGCCTTTGTATACACAGACAATCCCATGGCTGAGGAAGAACGTCTAAGATCAATCCCATTCACAATAGCTACAAAAACAATCCAATACCTTGGAATAAACTTAACCAAGGACGTTAAAGATCTCTACGATCAGAATTACAAAATCTTAAAGAAAGAAATAGAAGAGGATACCAAAAAATGGAAAAATCTTCCATGCTCATGGATTGGAAGAATCAACATCATCAAAATGTCCATTCTCCCAAAAGCAACTTATAGATTCAATGCAATCCCAATCAAGATACCGAAGACCTTCTTCTCAGACCTGGAAAAAATGGTGCTGAAATTTATATGGAGGCACAAGAGACCTCGAATAGCTAAAGCAATCTTGTACAACAAAAACAAAGCCAGAGGCATCACAATACCAGATTTCAGGACATACTACAGGGCAGTTGTAATCAAAACAGCATGGTACTGGTACAGAAACAGATGGATAGACCAATGGAACAGAATTGAAACACCAGAAATCAACCCAAACATCTACAGCCAACTTATATTTGATCAAGGATCTAAAACTAATTCCTGGAGCAAGGACAGTCTATTCAATAAATGGTGCTGGGAAAATTGGATTTCCACGTGCAGAATCATGAAGCAAGACCCCTACCTTACACCTTACACAAAAATCCACTCAACATGGATTAAAGACCTAAATCTACGTCCTGACACCATTAAGTTATTAGAGAACATTGGAGAAACCCTTCAATATATTGGCAAGGCAAAGAATTTCTGGAAAAGACCCGGGAGGCACAGGCAGTCAAAGCCAAAATCAACTATTGGGATTGCATCAAATTGAGAAGTTTCTGTACTGCAAAAGAAACAGTCAGGAGAGTGAAGAGACAACCGACAGAATGGGAAAAAATATTTGCAAACTATGCAACAGATAAAGGGTTAATAACCAGAATCTACATAGAGATCAAGAAACTCCACAAAAACAAAACCAACAACCCACTTAAGAGATGGGCCAAGGACCTCAATAAACATTTTTCAAAGGAGGAAATCCAAATGGCCAACAGGCACATGAAAAAAATGTTCAAGGTCATTAGCAATCAGGGAAATGCAAATCAAAAGCACAATGAGGTTTCACCTCACCCCAGTTAGAATGGCTCACATACAGAAATCTACCAACAACAGATGCTGGTGAGGATGTGGGGAAAAAGGGACACTAACCCACTGTTGGTGGGAATGCAAACTGGTCAAGCCACTATGGAAGTCAGTCTGGAGATTCCTCAGAAACCTGAATATAACCCTACCGTTCGACCCAGCCATCCCACTCCTTGGAATTTACCCAAAGGAATTTAAATTGGCAAACAAAATGC